AACTCTAGGAATTTCAGGGCAGAAAACCTGAATTTGAGAAAAGAGACTTGTGCTGAGACTTTATGAGGTTTTCTAATAGTATGAAATGAAAATTCTAAGTAATTTAGAAAAAAACTGGTAACCATATTAAGGGTTTATTCTTGACGTTCAGCCTTAATGTTAATGGAAAAAATAACAAGTGAAAAATATCAGATATCATTTCGAATCAGAAATACACCCCTTGCACCAGCTTATATCTTACAGAAGTGCACCCCATTGCCCTCAGGATGTGTTGTAAGGTAAATAGGAACTGCTATGTGGTCTTCTTATGTTTGAAAGCTACATGGCCTTTCCTGGAAGTAAACTACACCTCAGTGTGCTTTTATTGGGCATCCCTTGTATTAAATATCAGGAAAAGGCCACACCTATGCTGCAAAAGTTAAAGGGTCCTCCGCACCCCGCAGATCATCTATGACCAGATTTTGATCTTAGTGAGTTTCTAAGAATAAGAATATTGTCCATTGCAAATGGAGCTGGAAGCGTCATTGTTGACAATTCTCCTGGCATAGTGCTAATAATGGACTAAATCAAAATGGCTCAATTAAATTCTAGTGCTTCTTCTATTAGTGAAGTTTCTAGAAAAAAAAAATATATAAAACGGCGCAATGCACCTTGGGTCGCTACGGATACAGCCTCCTTGTATAATTACAAGGGTAAGGTCTGCGTACAACTGACCCCCCAGACCCCAACCTGTTGTGAATATACTGGGTATGTTGTTGTTGTTGAGTTTCTAAGAATAGAAATTACAATGTCTCATATATCATTAAATCTGAATTAACCCATTGAAGTTACAAGGCCATCAATCAAATAAAATGTTGAAAAGAGATCAGAAAGACAAAAAAGGCAAGGTCCTCTTTGGTGCCGATTATTTATGAATATTTTAAAATAAATTGGATGTTAGCACACCATGAAATGTTGCTTCCAAGGAGAAAGTACAGTGGGAAAGAGAAGATTTCATTTAATATACCTGTAACAGAAAGATTAGCCAAACCTGCAGAAACAAGAAAAACAAAATGGACAAGCATCAGTAACATGACTGAATCAAATGATACTTACACCCTTTCAAACAAGTGCCGTAAATATAAAAAAACCGATAATCATTTAAAGATAAAAGGTGAACAAAGGAGGATTCTAATATTCTCTGATATGTTATCTAGGTAAGAAGTAATGCAGTAGCTAGTCATTTTTGTCGTAAGCATTCAGCAGCTACCTCACTTTTCAGTCCCTTCTCGTTTTTATTAATTAATTTTTAGTTTACTAGGCTGAAAGTGAGAAAAGAAACCAAGGAAGTGTAAAACACCACAACAGTTCCTGATAGAAACTAACATAATTTCATTTTCTTAATTTTACCCTTTCAGCCGGACTGCAGGTATATGCCAATAACCCATTGTTTAGGGAAAGAGCATCACATTTTCCATATTTACCAGCACAAAGTTTACGATAAATATGACTAAACCATTAACCGGTGAGGAGTGAATCATCTGATCATGATTGTCTATGAAGATAGATGTGCTCGAGGCATGAACCATAACAAGCCCGAATATTATGCATTCTCTCTGTTTCAAAAGTAATTTTTCATGTGGCAAGTTAGGATGCATGAACAATAAATGCACCAACTGTCAACCAAAGGGATTTGAACCACCACAGTTTATTGCAACTCAAAAAAGAACCACCCATTAGAGAAAAAGCAGAGGATGATTGCATGTAACCCAGTATCATTAATATAAGGTAAAAAGTAAGAACCACAAACAACAACATTTGGATACCATAATACAGAAGAAATCAGTATAGTAACAAGAATAACAAACCATTAGCATTTCTCTTGGCTAAGTACTTAGATTACTATCTTACTGCTTAAGTACATCTATGTGCTGCCTCATTTGCATAATATTTACAAGATAGAACCTACAATGAACCTAAGTGTAGAATTCAACACTAGACAATGATTACCACTCACTAATTTATCCTAAACCAGAGTTAATATACCATTGCATATCCACCCAAGATTTAAAGCTCAAATCCCATCAGAACCATACATAAAGAAAAAAGAAAAGGACAAATGTGCTCTTTGAATGAGAGATACAAGATTATCCAGGCACTTTAAGCAGACTTGAATATACTGCAGCTTGAACAGATTGTCGAAATGAAATAAATATCATGACGCCTCACATTTCAGTAAATTTCAGCTGAATCAGAACAAGNTGCGGAGGAGCGCATTTGCAGTTGCACGGAGGACAAGAAGCCGAAACCCCTGTCAATTTAAAGCGCTTGTTGAGCTTGAAGTAGAGAGCGGGCCCACACACACAGAGCGCAGAGACCACCGCAAAGATCACCAAGCAACACCGCAAGCAGGCTGCAGATCTCCGGGTCATAGCTTCTCCTCTCCTCTCCTCTCCTTTCTTCAGCTAACTGCGTGTGTCGGTGCGTGACAAAATGAGATCCAACCCTAGTTCATTAAATTATAATTATATGGATCGATCTGTATCTTTAACTATTTGTGGGCGCTGTATGATTTTGCTTTTCACTGGTTTTAATTCGCTTTGGGAGGTTTCGGTAGCCGTCTGCGTGTTCTCACTTCTCACTAAGACTGGCAAGCAATGAATGAGTAATGGCGTCGGAAATACTTTAATTGTACTGGCTATGTATCATTTTTTTTTAAAAAAAAAATATGCTCTTTTTGTCATTTGTAATTGTAATTTAAATTATTTGTTTTTAACAAAATGTAATGGGAGACATACATAACATTTTATTAATAAATGTCTTTATTTATTTTTAGACATAAAATCAAAATAAAGAAGATGTATAATTAAAAAACAATTATTTTTTGCCCATATAAAAAAAAATCTTAGGATAAAATATTATATCAAATCATGAAGATAATCAAATTAATGTCTTCTTGAGGACTCTCCTCCTACACCTATAATTATAAATAAGGTTCTCACAAAGTCAGAATTCACACCTTATAATTCAAGGCTCTCAAGAACTTTCTTGAAGACTCAAACGCGTTTTATGAAGATTAAAGGACATTCTTGAAGATTAAAAGATATTCAAATTGAAGATCGACGTAGAATAACCTCCGAGCCTCTGAAGTACATCCGAAGGAGAATATAGAGAGGATAAAGATCCAAGAACATTCAAACTGAAGATCGACGATAGAGATGATAAAGAGACGACATCCACTCATCTCAAGTCAAATCCAAATTAATCAAAAGCTTTATTTGCGACTTTCAACCTACATTTGCCAAACCCTTGATTCAACGCTATTCAAGTCTAAATTCGTCTCCAAAGAGATCAAAAGAAAAAGTCCGTCAAGAAGCTCTAAAATCAAATCATGTCTTAGCATTTAATATAAAAATAAGTCATTTGACTCCATAATCAAAGTCAAACTCGAGCCCAAAAAAATCCAAATGGTCAGTCCACATTCGAAGATCCAAATCAAAGTCCAAGAAGAGAAGGATTAGAAATAAAGATTCTCCCTAAAATATCGTTTGATCGATAAACGGAACACGGTTTTGATTCCGGACGAACGTGTATGAGCTCTCAGTGCACAGGAGCTCGCCAAGCCCCGTCGCGGGTGCGACAACTGCTTCAGCCCAACTGTTGGGTGAGACGGCTCGTCACGTACACAACCCAGACACACTTACTCATGCCTAAAATGTTCCTACTAGGTTTTGGACGATCGTGCACGATCTAGAAGGTGTCTTTTGACACCTAAACCCCTAGAGAAGTCCAAGAATATCTATGAATGCCCCATTCTTTAGTGAGAACTTAACGAAATTGGGATAGAACATAAGATAGTTCATGTTCATCTTGTATTCATGATTATTTCTTCAATCTTGAGAGTTCTAAGCACAAGTAAGTTCTTCGAAATTTTGTTTATTGAAGTGTCACTATACACAAGATAAAAGTCATTGTATTTTAGAGACATTTGTCGAAAACTGCGGGCATTAATCAATGGCAATTTTGTGAGAACGTATTTTACGTGCCTCGACTTTGATTATTTAATTGAATTCTTTGTTTGAGTTTGTTCGATGATAGTGTTAGTGGTTTGTGTTCATCATTTGATCGAGCCGCTCGTCATCATTCTTCGTTCGTACTGTTATTTGTTATTCTCCAGACAGGTATGTACACACACCCAACAATGCATAGGATATTCTTCTCTGTTCTCAGGGCTGATGCCAGACAAACCCGATTCGGTTTCTCCCATATTCTTGCAACAATGACGTCAAATACATTACAATATTCATATTGGTCGTTAACTAGTTGTAATCTTTCTTCATGTCTGAATAATAATCCGATATCCACTTCCTTATAATCTCGACTTCCTGCTTCCTCTGCTCGATTAGCCACTGGGGATCATCTTTCGTTGATGCCCGCAAATCCGTATGGTGTGCTCCTGTATGTATTGCCAACATGAAAACCCTTTATGTATGGAATTCTTTTTAAACTACACAAATATATAAATAATAAATAAAACACAATTAGCTGCTTTAATTTGTTATGAAATGTGTCTACCTTCCTCAGCCACTAGAGCCACGATGCTTGCAGATATGTTTTTCAGCACACTAAATACAGAAATTCGAAAAACGTCAGCTACTGAAGTAAAATATTATCAGCATAAGGCCAGTAGCTAAATAAGATTTTAATGAACTCTTTTTTTAATTTGCCCACTTAAATTGCAAAAATTTGATTGTCATCTGTTTTGGACAACTCAATTTTTTTTTCTATACGAAAAGCAGTTTATACAATCACATAATATTTTTTCTTTTCGAACGAACCTGCCTCTGCTCCATGGATCTTGCAGTCCACTGGAAAATATAATGTTGCTGCCAAACTTCTTCAGCACTTGTTCAATGTTCTATTAAGACAGTTAAAAATGTAATAAATAAGTAAAAGATTCTTCTTATTCAGTCTTTCTCCATGCTTAAAACATCAATAATGCACTGAAATTAAAGAATTGTAAAATTAAATACTAACCGAGCCACCAAATTCAGTCGTGATCCAATGCTGTCGAGGGGTTACTCCGAAATCTTTCTTACAATCATTCGAGAAGTCTTTGTAACTGAATGAAGATGGCGGGAACATGCTCTCGTTCGAGATTGTCATTGGCATTACCATCTCTGTGCATGCCTGAGATTTTTGAGTTCAGATTAAGAAAAAAGGAGTATTCGTTTATTCGTTTTCTTTTTAATCCCATTTTTCTACTTCAAATGCCACTTAACAATTACCTGCCAATTCCAACCATGGAGGCCATGATCATCGGTTTCGTTTTCTAACTCGAAACATTTTTCATCTCGCGAGTGATTGTAATATAAGCTAGCAGCCTCAAAGGCTCTAGTTAGCTTTGTAGCTTCTGGGGATGATCGATCGATAATCTTACACATCTTCATCAAGAAGAAAAAAAAAAAAAGAGTTGGTTAGAAAAAATTTGAATTAACTTTGCAATACATATATTGTAACGGATTTTTAGCCTTACGTACCTCTTTAACCGGGTATGCAGGAAGTGGCTTCATGAAGTTAGATTCCGTGGGATAATTCATCATCGATGTATATACAAAGGCTTCCCAAAGCCAGTCTCTGGCAGAATAAATCGACCGAACTTTTCTGTGACATTAAAAAACGACATGAAAATTTCTCACTAACTTATGTGAACATACATAACTCATAATTTTGACCATATCAAGAAATTTACTTGCAAGCCCTGAAATCACGGCTGAGTTCATCTAGTCCTTGTTTTGAAAAAGCTTCCAATTCGGCCCAACTGTCCTTTATTACTTGATAGCAATTTAAGCTCACATCCTGCCCGAAAACCGAATCCATTTCAATATACAGTCATTTATTTTTCTACCGTAAGATGAAAAATCGAACAACTTTCATTTTATTTTATTTTTTTCCTATTTTTTCCACCTTGAAGTCCTGGGAGACTCCATCATAGAAACTAGACCAAGGAGTGATGGTATCAAACTGCAAGATTGGGGCTGAAGATGACAAAGCTCCAATGGCTATGTGTGGATATTTTAGTCTAAACCAAGCAGCAAGCACTAAAGCAATAACCAAACAATATTAGGCTTGNGGGAAAAAAAAAAAACAAAAAAAAAATTCCCAATTCCCATTATATGCATTAATGATAAAAACATGTGAATAGCAAGCAACAAATATATATTCAGAATAAGTTCCATCAAGCATAAAGGAATTGATTTGAGTTTTCAAGAATGATGTAAGAAAGCTAAAAAATGATGAAGGGAGTGCTTGGATTTACTTCCTCCATAAGACCCTCCAAAGACAAGAACAGGGGATGCCTCAGAAGATAAATTATGCTTCAAACTTCTAATGAGAAGAGCAAAATCAGCTAGTGCTTGCTGTGAATTTAAGTACCCCAATGTCTTTGCAGACCGGTAAGAGTGCTTTCCGAATGGCATCGATTCTCCATAGAACCTATGCTGAAATTATCAAAATTATAGTTACATAAAATGGGATTTTCATAGATACTATTAAAAAGAGTGAACTTAAAAAAAAAATAAAAAAAAAAAATAAATTATGAACAGAGTAGTATTGCATAGTGAAATCTTGATTACATGCAGATATTAAAGATTATAGAAATGGATAACCGTCGAGTGGCTATGGTTTAAGACTCTCAAAAACAGGAAAATAATATGAAACAACACACGAATGATAATTGTCTTAAGATCAAGAAATGAGCAGCAATCAAACCTCAATAAAAACGAGAAGAGCACGAAACTTGGGAGCAATATCGAGCAAGAATCCGGTATTAGCCGCAAACCAATCGATATCTCCTTCATTTCCTGTGTACACGAAAATAGGAGCACCCTTCTTCCAAAACTGACTGTTGATCAGATATTTCTGGTAGAAAATTTTGTAGCTATTGGGCTGAAATGTGAAGTGATCCAAGTTTTGTGGAAAATAATGGACTTCATATGGTAATTTTGGCTTCACATTCTTTGAAACCTTCTTGAGTGACGACCGGACAAAAGTTCCCGGAAAATACGTTCGAACCGAAGCTGATGATGATGCTGTTGTTATTACAAAAACAAGAATCAAAAGCAAGGAAGAAGATAAGGAAGCCATTAGGAGTTTTCTTTCTTGATGTGTATGTTGTGTAGCAGCACAATAATTATAAGGACAAATGGATATTAAAGGATTGATTTTTTTATTTTTTTTTTAATTTCAAACTCTTGTTAACAACTTTGGTGTTATACAATTTTTAGAGTGTGACAGCTTTATGTAATTTGTCTCTATTGTGGAAGGTTTTGTTGGGAAGTGATGAACAATTTGGTGGAAGGATGAATTTAGGGATTTCTGTGGTGTAGTTTTGTTTGCATGCTTAGAGTTGACAACCACTGCCAGCTCATTTGGCCATGTTAATATACTTTGAAATCTGACTTGTACTTTCTTTTTTACATGAAGCTGGTAAATAGTAGGCCTAGTTTTAAAGTTTTTGTTAGAGCTAGGTTCTTGCTGTCTCTAGATTTCAAAGGAAAAATCCATTGTAAAAATGCTCTACATAATAGTATCATCTTTTTGTTTTGGTGTAATGCTATTTTAACAAATGTATATAATTTCATACTCGAATGTCATACTTTAATACGCAATATACATAAATATGATATTTTTATGTTATATGTGTGTTTCTTTTGTAAAAAAATATGATTGTCTAACGGTTATGTAGCCTAACAACAATATTTATATAAAAAGAAACATAAGAATTCCATGTCCATGCCCATTAAAGACCTAATAATAGGTTTTCCAACTTGATAAAGTAAATTCAAACAAGTAAAATCAGACAAGTAAATATATTTAAGTTCACAAATTGTGTGACACACCTTCTGGATGAATCGAGTTGTCATACTTTGTGAATGAAAATAAAAATATATTATCGAATCAAACATTATATTTTTATTCGTATTAACTTGTCAAGTAAGAATTCTACACAACCTAGTAGAAAAGTGGTCACAAGATTTATTGAAAATGTGGGCACATGGGTAGGATAACCTTTGACTCTCGAGTCTGTCTATGAGAGAGGAGAGAATAGGTATAGATGTGGTCACGGGCCAAAATGGCCCAGAACATGTCATGTCATGCCCGTTGATTGTGGGCTGGGAACCGACCCGTGCTGTTAGTCGGATCGATTCAGTTCACAAAGCGTAACAGTGATCCCTACAGCAAGACTATGAGTCCAAAACCAACAAAAGAAAAAAGAGAACTAAACAGCAACAAAGTTACAGGTCACGATACCATCAAGCAATAGGCAAATGTCTTCAGCTATAGCACTCACTAAAGAGTTGAAAAAGAAACTCTTTTGTTTAGGTATTGTGCTATAGCCTTGTCATTTAGTTTGGAGTCAAAGCTCCACCAGCCCAACTGCTTTCCCACTTCCAAGTTCCGCGTGTAGAGCTGCAAATTAGTCGAGTCGAGTCGAGCATTGGCCTAATCGAGCAGGATTGATTTTTTTTTTTAGCTGTTCGACCTCGATTTTTGAAGTTCGAACTCAACTAGATAAAAAAATACAATAGCTCGAGCTCGACTCAAATTCAAAATGCTCGAGCTTGGCTCGAGTTCGGTTCGAAAATTTTCAAGCAACTTTATAAAATTATTACTAAGTACATATATTAATATAATGATACATATATATAGAAGGGGTATTTTAGTAATTTATCATATATTTCGAGCCGCACGACAATGTAAAATATGGGCTTCGAGCTCGACTCGAGTTCCTGCTTGAGCCACTCGAGCTCGCCTCGAGTTCTGTAAAACTCGAGCTCGAGCCAAGCTAATTTAACTCAACTCTACCCGCGAGCCGCTCGACTCGTGTGTAGCCCTACCCACGTGACATCAAGTAACAAAGTTTTTCATTGGTGCAGTCTCCTGCCCCAAGTGACCTAGCGAAAGCGTAAATGAACAGGATAAATAAAGAAAAACTCTCAATATGTTTATTTTAATCAAAATTCAATTCCCTTCAAACAAAAGAATAAGGCTATGTTTGTAAGAAAAATCTCAAACCAAATTAATTCATTCTCAAAATCTAAATCAACTTTAACTCAACTCCACTATCCTCAATATTATCAATATAATTAAATAATAACAATCAATCATTAAATAATAACAACCAATCATTTTTACACATCATATTAATTTTAATTCACTATTCATCCACTCGCAGAATTTTTAACTAACTATCACTTGATATCATCTCTCTCCTACTTTTACATCAAACCAATTTTAATTATTTTATTTTAAATATTATTTTAATATAAATTCAAAATCCCACTAACAACTAACTATATCACTTTATCTAAATTAACCTTAGTTAACTGAAAACCCCACTTAGAGTTAATTCACTCAAATTATTTCTTTTACAAGCACACACTAAAGAGTCTTAAATAGATCTTCTAACAACCTTAATGAAATAACTTATCTACCAAAAAAAACGAACTATGATAAATATATTTCCTATTATTAAATAGTTTTTCTATAAGCAAATATAGTTATTTAATTTTTATATTTTTCATATTTAATATTAAAATATATGTTATTATATTTGGCACTCCGATAATGTCGAAGATAATAGTGATTGAACCAGTAATACCACATATCGGTTGTTGGGCCAGTATGACTAAATGTATGGTATTTAAAACATTGGCTTATGAAGTTATCCATAGTTATCCACAAATGGTGTATTGGCACGTGTCCTGCAATAAATATACATTGGACACGTGTCAACACATGAAGTTATGGATGACTCCATTAGAGCATCTACAATGCATTGGGTCTAGTCTTGCCTATGTGGCATGTAAAGAAACCCGAGTCTTGAATGACATGGATAAAATTATGTACAATTGATAAAATTCACTCCAATGCAAAGAGACTAGGTTTCTACTTGGGTCTAAAATAGACTTAAGGTTAGACCCGGTCTCTTTTTCTAGGTGCCACATCAGCAGGATCAGTCTACTTTTGTTTGCATTGGAGAATATAATTTTTTAGACTAGGTCTATTTCTTTAGTGACATACAAATTTATTTTTATTGAACTCAAAGCATTGTGGATGTTCTAAGAGGGCTATCTGATGACTCCATATAATTACTGAATAGCATATTGAACCTCATTTAGAGGTTTGACCCGTCAAATCATATAATTAGTTTGTTTATTAAAAACTTATTTGATTAGTTTTTTAGGTCAAAGCAATAATTATGAAATGATTCAATATAAGAGAGTTTTGACAATAATAAAATGTCAACATAAAAATTTCAAAATAACTATACAACTCGTTATTTATCAAACAACTACTACAAATAATTAAAATAGTTAATGCATATCTGTTATGTAA